ACTCAAATTTAATATCATCTTACTAATTACTAACATAATATACATAATTTTTAAACATTTTAAGGGTGCAACCGTCTCTGCCCACATCCCCTATCCATCATTGCTTTGATCAACATGGTAAGTAATAAACTTTTCTTAATTTATTTATTTTCAAATTTTATTATTTATTTATTTTGTTGTGAACTGGATAGGACTAAAGTCTCTTTTGAAACAAACACCTAATTTAAAGTTGTAACTAGGGATGGACAAATTAACCATTAATTCCATAAATTGAATAAATTCGGGTTTCAATTAGATTTGATTCGATTCTTGAAGGACGGTTAGTTTTTAGGCCAAAACTAAATAACTTGACGGGCGTGGTTTCAAAGAGGTGAACGTGGCTGCATGTTTGTTGCAAGGCAAGAAAATAGTGATGACAATTTGTTAGATAAGGTGGCATGTAGTGAAGACGAAGCATATGCTTTATACAATATTTATGCATGATGAATGGGTTTTAGTATTCGGAAAGGAAAGCCAAGATATTATAGTGGATCAAAGAACATAAGGCAACGTGAATTTTTATGTTCTAAAGAAGGTTTTAAAATAGGTGAAGACCCTTGTGAAGAAAAAGAATTGAAAAGGCTGGAGACTAGAACTGGTTGCAAAGTATTTGTTCGTTTAACTGTTGAAGATGGAATTTGGAGGGTTGCTGCCTTCAATCCTAAACATAATCATGAACTTGCATTACAATCAGAGCGACATTTGCTACGATCTGCTTGTCACTTTTCAAAACTAAAGGCAAGTGTGATTGATTTTATGGTAAATTCGGGTATAAGCACAAAGAATAATGCTTATTTATATCTAAGAGAAGAAGTTAGAGACAGTGAGAATGTGGGTTTTACCAAAAGGGATTGTTATAATTATGTGAACAAGCAAAAGATTATGATGATTAGTGCTGGAGATGCTCAAACCCTGGGGATCGACCGGCCTATCAACTGGCCCTGTTTTGTGAATTTTATTTTTTTGTTGCACTTCCTTTTTCTGTTGCACTTCCTTTTCGCACCATTGGTAAGCTCACACTGAAGTTTAGCACCTCTAAAATCCACTATTCACATTTAACACATTCCCAATCAAATTCAACATATATTCACAACATCATGCCTAAAACCAAAAGAGCAAGATCAGAACATGGTGAAACCTCCAAATAAAAAGCGGGTTTGGAAGGGTGAAACGAGTTGTGCATTTAAAGTAATTCTACATAATATTCTTATAGTGCTAACTACTTGTCACTCTACTTTCGCCTAAAGAACATTACTCAAAATTGAAATGAATAATTAAGATTCAATTAATGTACTATAGAATTCACGTATGTAAATCTAAATCCCATAATGACATTATTTTTAAATGAAATTGGGTAAATTATGCAAATAGTCTCTATGCTTTACACTATGTGTCAATTTGGTCCTTGTAGTTTCAATTTGCTCAATTTTGCCCTTTAATTTAACGGATTGTCTCATTTTAGTCCAATAAATAACGGTTGTTAAATTAATTTAACGGAATGTCAAATAATGTGTCAATTTGGTCTTTGTACTTTACACGATGTGTCAATTTGGTCTCTATAGTTTCAATTTTCTTGATTTTGACATGGACTAAATTGACACATTGTGAAAAATACAGGGACCAAATTGACACATTGTTTGACTTTTCGTTAAATTAACTTAATAACCGTTATTTATTGGACTAAAATGACACAATCCGTTAAATTAAGAGGCAAAATCGAGTAAATTATAACTACAAGAACCAAATTGACACATCCTATAAAATACAGGGACTATTTACATAATTTTTCCATTAAAATTCTAAGTAGAAGTAGGTAGTGTTGTCTGCTTTCTATGCTCTTCCACTTCGTATAGGAGAGGTAAAAGAGGAAGTGATCAGTTCCAAACATGGAGTCCATGCCTAAGTCGTCGTCGTCATCATCATGCATGGCCAGAGATGAAACCCTACACATAGTCATGTTCCCATGGTTAGCCTTTGGTCATATGCTTCCATTCTTAGAGCTCTCCAAGCTCATAGCCCAAAATGGTCACAGAGTCTCTTTCATATCCACTCCTAGAAACATCCAGAGACTCCCCAAAGTGCCTCCAAATCTATCCCCTCTCATCAATTTAGTGAAACTCAAACTACCCAAAGTCGACCAACTCCCCCAAAACGCATAGTCCACACTCGATCTTCCCAACCACAAAGTCAAGTACCTCATGAAGGCCTACGATCAACTCCAACAACCCATGTCTCAGATTCTCTCAGATTTATCTCCCCATTGGGTAATTTATGATTTCGCTCCATATTGGTTCGGCCCTCTTGCCTCCAAACTCGGCATCTCCAGAGTCTTCTTCAGTGTCTGCGTTGCCCCTGCGTTGTGCTTTCTGGGTCCTGTACCAGTGTTAAAGCGCACGAGTGGTGAAGACGATCGCACAACACCAGAGGACTTCACTGCTAAACCCAAATGGATCCCATTTGAATCAAAAATCGGGTTTAAGCTCTTTGAGATTAAGTCTTTCTTCAACGAAATATCCACCAATGATGAAAACGTCCCGATTACATTTCGCTTCGGAGCGGGGATTGAAGCTTGTGATGTATTGGCTATGAGAAGCTCTTACGAGTTCGAACCCGAATGGTTGAAACTCATGGAAGAGATTCACATGAAACCCGTTATACCAATCGGCCAATTGCCCTCTACTGCGTATGATGATAGTTTCGATGAAACATGGTATACAATGAAAGAGTCAAAGTGGCTTGACAAGCAGTCTAATAAGTCCGTGGTCTATGTTGCATTCGGAGGCGATACAAAGCCAAGTCAAACCCAACTTACTGAGATAGCTTTTGGGTTAGAACTATCCGAGTTGTCATTTTTTTGGGTTTTGAGGAATCGGCGTGGTGTGGATGACACTGAGGTGACCGAGTTACCAGATGGGTTCGAGGAGAGAACCAAGGAACGAGGAGTGGTTTACACTAATTGGGCGCCTCAACTCAAGATACTGAGTCATGACTCGGTTGGTGGGTTTTTGTCTCACTCTGGGTTGAGTTCGGTGGTTGAGGCTTTACAGTTCGGGCAGTCTCTCATTTTGTTGCCTTTCATGGCGGACACGGGGTTGATCGCTAGGCATTTGGAAGAGAAGAAGATGGCATGTTTGGTACCCAGAGACGAGCGAGACGGGTCGTTCACAAGAAACTCGGTGGCTGACTCACTGAGATTAGTCATGGTTGAGGAAGAAGGGAGGATATACAGGGACAAGTTTAAAGAGATGAGTGGGTTGTTTGGTAACAGGGCTATACAAGACAAATACGTGAATAATTTTGTGGATTACCTGAAGAAGCATAGACCAGGGCTAGCTCAAGAGGAATAAACAAAAAGCCTACTGTTATGTTATGTCATGTCCCAGATTTCTGAGTCCAGAATTTGCTGGGTAAGGTGTTTGTGTGGTATGTGTTTACGTTTTGTATGACAGGGTTCAAGAAAAGAGTTGGAAAATTTGAAAATCTTCGAAGATCCTTGAAGAACAACTTCGAATTCTCTAGAATATGATGAGAGGCTTAGATTCTTCAATAATCTCAACTTAGGAACACAACAACAAAGGAGATGATGGAGATAAGAGATTGGGTGAAGAAGAAGGCAAAATGGCTAGAGAATAGAATAATGGCAAGGCTCTCCCATGGATAGGTGGGATTGACTGCAAGATTGAAAGAGACTTAGGATAAGAGAGAATTAATTTGAAGAATTGAGGTAAGTTGGAGAAAAGGGTTTGTTTGTTGTTTGAGAAGTTGAAGTGGCTTTACCTATGATCTTGAGGCTTGAGATTGATGGCTTAGGGCCTTGGCGGTTATCGACAAATATTTCCTTAAGACAAACCTTTAGAGGTTTAGGAAAGATCACTGCAGTCGTGATGGTCCACCAATGTTCAAAGCTTTTAGTGAGATCAAAGACAGGCTTGAAAAAAGTAAGTGTTGAAGTTATTGAGGAGAGTTTCCTTCTCTGTTTTGATTGGCTTTGCTTGAGAGGAGTCTTTGATGCTGATCCTTTTTCTTACTTCTTCATGGGTGGTAGGATGAAAGTTAGGATAAGGTATGCACTGAGGAATTGAGTTGTTTGAAACACCCTTGGGCTTTGATTTTACAAATTGAGCTTTGAATCATGTTAAAGTATGAGTTTTGATGTGTTTTCTGGAAAATTGGCCCAAGAGGATCGAAATCTATGGTTTAAAACTTGGTTTTGAGCTTGAGGTTCAAATCTGAAATTTCCAGAATTTGGGCTCACGCTCGAGCGGGGTGACTGGCGCTCGAGCGTGAAAATCGTGCTCCCAGCATTTTGTTCTGTTTTAAAGTCCGCTCGAGCGGACTAATTGACGCTCGAGCGGGGCATTGTGTCTCATGCTCGAGCGGGTGTCGAGCGCCCAATCTGATTTTCGTCTATCCAGCACTTTTGACTGTTTTGCAGAACCGCTCGAGCGGGTAAGTCTACGCTCGAGCGGAAACCTTTGTCTGCATGTCCGCTCGAGCGGATAAACCTACGCTCGAGCGTGACCCCTGTTTTCTGAAAAGTCTGGAAATGCTTTTTCAAGTGCATGTTTGTATCCTCATCCCATTCTAGGCATTCTTAGGTCTAGTTTAAGACATCTTATTGAGGATATAGATGTAGAACACACCGAGGCAAATTAAGGATTAAGTTATTATTTTCTTTCCCAACTGTGTAGCTTAGTGTGTGTTCAAAATGAGAAAATATAGATGTATATATTTTTTAACCAAAGAATAAAGAAGCATTTTTTTTTTCTTAAACAAAAAGAAAGAAAGGATAATGCCTACACACTCTTTTTGTTTGGCAAATCCGTGAGTCAGGTAGTTATGTATAGATATATATGAAGGAATGTGTGATGGAATATACCAAGCATGATGCCTCTTTTTTTTATTTAAGGAAAGGCTCAAAAACCCTATTCTGTAGCTAACCAACTTTTGCATAGCCGCCGCATCCATTCCAACTTCGTCTCTCAGCCTACTCTCTCTCTAGATTGAGAGACCATCTTTCTTCTTCAACAAACCAGCACCGCTGCCATTTGCACAGCCCTCCATCACAGCTTCCATCAACGCCGCCGAAGACCCAGCCACTGTCACAGCAGGCCAGCACCAGCACCGACTTGCCATCACCTTGCCCCAGCTCCGACGACCGTGCGTATCATGACCCAAGCCGCTGCTCACCATGGGTGCTTTACTTCGGCTCATCGACGTAGCTTCTCAGAAATCCAAATATTCCGGAGCAAGGTTCACCAACTAGCACCGACACTGACTTCTCTTGTGACGACACTGCTGCTTCCGGCTTTTGAGAGCCATTGTGACGCCGACTCCTCTACCTCACCATCGGTGTTTTACTATTGTCGGCTTATCTCTGCTGTAATCTTTGCTACCGACATCGGCTATCCAGCGCTACCCACATGCGTTGCTATTTCTGTCCTTAACTGCCCAACACCGACCACACATGCCGCCGACTCAACGTGGCATGCGTGGTCTCACCAAGCACCGTTCAACTTGTTGTTGGTATTATTTCTTAGCTTAACAATATTTATCGGGGCTCCGAACTCACGAATTTCGGCCCTACTTTCATACCCATTGTAATCCATCGCCATTGGTTCCGGCTATGATTAATCAATGCCAACCACACCGCCGACTCAGCGCGGTGTTGGTTTGCCTAGCTGCCCGCTGTTTCGTGCACCATTCTCAACCTACACCGCCTTTGGTCTTCATCCTCTTCGTTACTTCTCTAAGTCTGTGGGTAAGTATTATTATTATTTTTTTTTTTTTAAAGAAAAAATTGGTGGAAGCCTTCTTTGTGGTAAACCCAATTTCAGAATCTCTACATCTGATATATATATTTTGTGAATCTTGATGTGTCGATTACTGCTCATTGCTAAAGAAAATAAAACTTGAATAGCCCTCCGTTGATTTTTTCCTTGAAATGGAGGCAAGTCTTGAGGCATTTTTGTTGACTCAAAATCTGATGTTGCTAAAATCACAATATTGAATGTTTGAATATTGTAATTCCTGAATTTGAAACTTTACTCAGAAGCTTGGTTTGAATGTAGACAAAATGACACTTTGCTTCGTTGAAAAGAAAGAAACAAACGTGTTGTTGTTGTCGATGATACACACATTGCTATTGCTATTTGTTGAACCCCTCCGACTGGATCTTGAACTCATGATGAAATGTAGCCCTGAAATTCATATTTTGAAGCTTGACTTTGTGTCGATAAATATTGACATAGATGGGGTATTAATGTTGCAAAGATTCATTGGTGTAGAGAGAGAAATAATTTGAATCTTTTGAGTTTTGTTGGTGTTGCTACTGAAAATTTTGTTAGACTTGTCTTGAAATTTGTAGAGCAGAATACAATAAATGTTGTTGCAAGCGAAACCCGAGGGAATGAGCCCCTCATATTGTATATAAGTCATGTTGTTGAATAATTAATTATTGTCTTGTCGATCTTGTAGATGCTCGAAAGATAAATAGTGGATGCCCGATGCTTTGCCTTCGTCTTCGGCTGTTCAACGCGAACCACACGTCGCCCACTCAACGCGATGTGTGGTTTTGCCTAACACCATCCAGCTCATTAGTCTCACAGCCCGGCGCTATTTTTTTTCGGAGTTTGAATCTCGATTTTTGCATACTCATTGGATTCGGCCGTGATTAATCAACGTGGACCACGTCGCCCTTTCAACGCGTCGTTGGTTCGTCTAGCACCCTTCTCACTTACTGTTTGTCCAAGCTACACTCACTGCTGCCGCCCTGTCTCAACTTGTCCAACGCCGACCACGCACGTTCGCCCACTCAACGCAACGCGTGTGGTCCTGCCAAGCCTAGCCCAGTCTTGTTGATTACAGTCTGTAAAGCCTCTCTGATTTCAGCTTATATTTCCAACATCGGCTTCGGACTTCACCCCTCTAACAGTCCCAAATTTGTGAGTATGAAATTCGGCTCCCTCTTCCTCTCGTTGAATAATAAAGATGATATATTGTTGTTTGTTTAACTTGTGGATGCTTGGGAAATACATAGCTGATGCCAAAATTTTTGTGTGACCGTTGTAGTTTTACGTTGGCTCGAGAGGAACCAGCCCGGAGAGACAAAAACTTGATAGTTGCATTTTCATGAACTTGCTCAGAGTAATAAAATTGTTGTAGCTTAAATAGATAATTATTATTTGTTGATGTTGCCCCATTCTGATAATGCCTGAATCATGATCTGAAATTGATATTGTTTGTCTCGTTTGTTGGCTTTGCTATTTCAGGCAAATGAATTCTTGATTGAAATCCACGACCTTGGGGCCCTTGGAACCCGTACTAATGAGAGCAAGGGCTGTTCCTCGGAAGTCCGAACAGAAGCAAGACTGTCTCTCGGGAGTCCGAAGGTAGCACACACCCTACTTTGGCAAGAAAGATTCCTCTGGAAGGTAACCGAGTCTACCAAGCTTGCACCAACAGAAGTAAAGATTGTCTCTCAGAAGTTCGAGCAGAAACGAGGCTGTCCCTCGGAAGTCCGAGTGGATGCCCACTCTACTTTGAAAAGAAAGATCCTCAGAGCTCGTATTGATGAAATCAAGAGCTGTTCTTCAGACCCGCACTAATGAGAGCAAGAGTTGTCCCTCGGAAGGCTCTCCCTCAGAAGTCCGAGCAGAAACAAGGCTGTCCCTCGGGAGTCCGAGTGGATGCGCACTTCTACTTCAGCAGCTAATGGAAGCAAAGGCTATCCCTCGAAGCTCGCACTGATAGAAGCGAGGGCTGCTCTTCGGAAGTCCGAGTGGGAGCACACACTCTACTTCAGCAAGAAAGATCCTTTCTCGATTTCCAAACTTCATCTTGATCACCCTCAATGTTGTGAATTTTGATCTCAATCTTCAATTCAAGAGCTTCGAATTTGAGCTTAGAATAATGTTTTGGACAAGTGTATGATCACTGTTTAATCTTCTTTAACTTAGCAAGACTACTCTCCCTTTGATCAAAGCTTTAGGACTTGGTTCTTAAGTGGTGTTTGCAAAGAAATATGAGATGTATAGAGGCTTTATAACTTCACTAATTTGGAAAGACAATTCTCTTGCTTTCAAGGCTTCTTTTTTTTTCCTCTCAAATTCTAACTCAAATTTAGTATTCTCTCTACACTTCTCTTCTAATTCATCTCCTCAAACTCAAGACTAGAGCTCTCATTATATAGGCAATGCTAGTGGAGCAATGGTGGAATACAAAGTGGATCATTTAGGGAAGATAATGGAGCTAATGAGGCACTAAAATGGAGCATTATCCTCATTGGCTTGAGCACTAGTCAATGGAGGATGCGTAAGCATGCATTTGGTGCAAAAATAGGTAAGAAATAACATCACAAAGTGCCCCACACAGTAAAAAAAATCTCGCCCAATGTGAATAGGTCGCGATCACGGTAAGGCAAGTTGCGCCCGCGGTCACACTCTTTGTGCTTGCGATGGTGCTACCGATCGACCGACTAGGGTGGATTTTGTCCGTTTTTGCTCCAGTTCGGTCTTGTTTCGCTCTGGTTTGGTCCCACTTCACTCCGGGGGACGGGGCTTAAACACTTGGCTGATATAAGCTTAGGGTTAGGAATAAAGCTCAAATTCCAAGCTCTCTTAATGATAATTTTGTGAGAAACACATTCTGATTGCCATCATCGGATAATCAAAAGTGCCCAAGTATAGCGATCCCGATTTTTCCCTTTCTTTTTTTTTATTATTTCGGACTCGGTTCCGTGGTTGATGGTTGTTGTCTGTGTTGCATTTCCATCCTTTAACTCTTAGTAAGTGAGTTTAGAAATGTTTTGGGCGTGTTTTGAACAGGTTGGTTGAGCTTTGGTCTCAAGTGTTGTTGCCCAGGTTTTAGGTGATCTGCTCGAGCGGGTCCTTTTGCGCTCGAGCGGGGTCCGCATACTTGCAGTATCTTGTGCGTCTGCAAAACTTCTGCAAATGTGTTTTTCACGCTCGAGCAGATTTTCTTACGCTCGAGCAGGTCACGCTCGAGCGGGCCTCTTTGCGCTCGAGTGGGTGTTCTGTGTCTGTGAAAGTACTGGAGGTGGTGAATCTACGCTCAAGCGGACCTTCTTTCGCGCTTGAGTGGGTGTGTTTTGCAGTTGTGTCTTGGAGCTCGAACGGGTATTCTTGCGCTCGAGCGGGTCCAGTTTGTTTGTGCTTGACGCTCGAGCGTCCAATTTTTCGCTCGAGCGGACCTGTTTGTATATCACTTCGGGACTTCACCTTTTGGATCACTTTTTGATTTCCCTTCTCTCTCTTACTTTTTCAAAACTCCATTGGAGAGTCTCTCTCTCTCTATAATACCAACTTCTCTCTAGGGTTTGATCTAGTATGAGTGAACCCTTATCCTTGGGCCTTTGTAGAAAGTGTTGATCTCGTTATGGGCTACGTTTTGATCCGAAAATCTTGAAGTTTGGAGCATTTCGAAATTCTTCATCTTCTCCATTTGAGTTGCGAGTTTGAGGTAGGGATTTCCTTGTTCTTTTACAATGCTTTGTCTATAGATAGACATGTGGTATTTTTGTATTGCATGAAAATCATATCCATGTTGGGTTTGTTTGAAAATCATGAGGGTGAACCTAGGGTTGGTTGCTTAAAAGTGGGTTTGTTGTCATGTATGGTGATTTGGACTAATTGGGGTGTAAATTAGTATATTATTGTTGAAAGGAGAAAAAGCCCTAATTTATGTTTGATTTGATAAATTAAAAGAGGGGTTTTGTACTTGGGCCAATACGCATGTATTTTGGGTCTCTATGAAATTATTATTGTTGTTTGTTGTTAGTATTTGAGTCCTTTTGGGTCAATGTTGGAAAAGAGAGAGAAAGCCCTAATTTACCATTATGAATTAATTTGCATAATTGATTTGGAAATTTATGAGAAGAACGGTATTGGTTTTTATGAAATGAAAATGGGGTTTTGGAAATTGGAAAATCCTAGAAGTCGATCTTGGAAATGGGAAGTGAAGTGTCAACTCTATGTGAGTTTTAGAAAATGAATATGAGAATTGAATTTACGCACATTTGGGGAAAATTGTTGTTGGATTAAGATCTCATGAGAAGTTAAGTCTTTATAATAGATGTACTAAAATCATGCATCTAGAGGTTTTGTCCTTGGTCATCGGTGGAGGATGACATGGTTGTGTTGAATTGTCATGTATGCATTACACCTGTGTTGATTGATCATTGTATGTAATGAAGTGCTTTTGTACATTATATATATAAATTGTCAGGGAGGAGAAAGGTGATGTACTCCAGTGTGTGGGAGGAGATAGGGGATGTACTCCACACACCTATGTGTTCATATATTTTTAACACATTGATTATGTATCTTGATAGTTCATGTGTATGTATTGCACTCATTGGTTATACCTTAATATGTTGAGTTGGTTGATGTTATATACCACGCTTATAATGAGGGGTACCATTACCTTTCAGCTAGCGCCTGGAGAATGTAGACGGGGTACCATTACCTTCTAGCTTGTGTCTGGAGAATGTGGCTAGTCATTTGTTGGGAGACGTATCCTTGGCTTACTATGCTTATAGCCGGTAGAACAGAGTTTTATTGTTAATACCTCAGTGTATCTGAGTAGTTTCGGTTGTGATGGTTACAGTTTTGAAAGGCCGAGTTGCCTCATTTGATAATTATATACATGTTGATGATTTGTTGTCTCCTTTTATTAAAGGCATGCATGTATAGATATGAATGTTTCGGGAACAAACCAAAATGCCATTTTGAGATTTTGGAAAGTGTGAAAGAAACCGAGTATTTTAAAGATATGTGTTGAGAAAAAGCACATCTTTTGTGAAATTGTTTTTCCTGAGAAGTTGTTATTGTTATGAAAATTTGGGAACCGAGGGTAATGAAAGGAAAAGAAAGATGTATCGCTTATAGCGTCGAATGAAATGGCTATTTTCGAGAAAAGCTCATACTTATGTATATTTTGTATAAATTGTCACATTACTATTGTAGTATGATATCAAGCATTCATGATCATAACTATCTGTAAGTTGTTATTGTTGAGGATCATGTTGAGATCCCTACTGGACTATATGTTCATCCCACGTTGTTGAATCTTTTTCAGGTAATAAGCAGGATGTGCTACAAGATTTCGAATCTTCTTAATTGTTGGCCACGGGGCCTCTTTCTTGTTGGCGAAATGCCATATATGAAAAAAGGTTACACCCTTCTTTTGATTCTTTAATGATGTAAGCCCTCGGGCATTTTATTCAGTATGCTCATGTTGTATTTACTGTGCATTCGGACAAGAGAATTGTTATTTATTTCTACCCATGGGACTAAAGAGTTTATTTCTGCACGTTATCTCTGAACTTGAAATTAAACTAATGAATTTGGTAATGACTTCGAGTAATAAAAAGTGGGGCGTGGCAACTTGGTATCAGAGCGAGCCGGGTTTGAATACTTTGGGCTCGTGGGAAGTGGTTTTTACCACAGTGGGTGTACTACGTATGGTGAGGACATTGCATATAGTTAACATGAATGTTAGGACTTTTATGTTGCATTTATATGAGCATGGGATTGAGTTTCCTGGATAGTATTCATAGTCGGTGAACTTGCTTTGAGGTCCTCTTGGAAACACGCCTGATCAACGTGGTTTCTGATAGGAATTCCTTGAGAGTTTCGGGATGAGTGGCTATCCTTGTGGACTTAATTCAGTTATGTATTTAAATGTTTAGATGTTTATATGCAATCGTAACTTATGTTTTGAGACTAAGTGTGTCTTGTGACTTGAGTGTAGTAAGTGTGTGCCTCGGGGAAGGCTATTGTGTTAAGCACTAAGTGTGGTTTTGTTTTTGGGTTTTATAGGATGTCTACACGAGGGAGTAGAGGACGGATGAGTAGTAGGAGTGTCGGTAGAGGCACAACAGTTCCTTTAGCACCTGCCGTTACAGCGTCGACTGTCGGCGAGGACGTTGCACGTAAGATTGAGAGAGCAGTGCAGGATGCTTTAGCTCGCACTGAGGGTGGCAAAGGGTGTGCCCTCAAGCTTACTAAGGAGTTTTTCCGCTCCGGCCCACCAGAATTTGAGGGGGAGGCCAAACCGTTAGAGGCAGAGAGTTGGTTAGAGCAGATTACTAAGACTCTTGATATGCTCTGAGTCAAAGATGAGGAGTTGAGGGTTTCTTTGGCTACCTTTCAATTGAAGGGTGACACGAGTTATTGGTGGAAGTATGCGAAGAATACTGTTGGTAGCACGTGGGTTGCTTTTACCGAGACCTTTTGGGCCAAGTATTTCCCTCCTTCTGCTCGAGAAAGGTTGAGGGAACAGTTTATTGAGTTACGTCAGGATGATACTCCTGTGGCACAGTTTGAGATGCGGTTTACCAGTTTGTCGAGGTTCGCTCCAGAGTTGGTGGCAACAGAGGAGCGCCATTGTTATGAGTTTGAAAGTCGGTTGTGTTTCAATATCCGGGAGAAAGTAGCTGGATCCTTTTGAAAGGATTATTATACCC